GTGGATCAGGTGTGGCGGGGTCCGTTGGGGTCCGCTGGGGTCGAGGAGGGGCCGCAGGTGAGGTGCGACGCTTGCGTGCGCTCTGCGAGGTCACCCTAAACCACCTGTGCTCATGTCCGACATGTTGACGTAGACTCGAGCATGCGCATGTTTACCTCCATGGGGTCTCCCCATGGCATGCATAAAAGGCCGTCAGCAACGTCAGAGAAGCGAAAGAGAAGGAGGGGGCAACGAGCAGAGGAGGAAAGGGAGTGTGAAAAGAGCGTACCGTCCCAACCGTCCTTATGACTGCGCTCACTTATTTCACCGTCCATGGCAGTCCCCAGGAACGGTCACTGCTCAGAATTTAACACTAACGCTTTGTTGATAGACAAGGACAATGACTTGCGCTGTCGTGTCAACAAGCGGGCCACTAAACTCTTTGGCAGACAAGATTCAGAGCACAAGCAAAAGTGGATTGAAGAGGAATTTCTCAAGCGACAAAACAAACGCAAAGAGAAGGAACGTCGGAAATCCATGGGAGGTGCTACATCCATGCACGACGATCACAAGGAATCGTCACCACGCAATGCTCAAAATGGAAGCACGCCATCTCATAACCCCAACATGCCCACGCACTTTACCGCCGAAGACCTCCGCATGCTCAATACCGCCGAGCAACTGGTCACGTCGGGACAATTCTCTGCCTCTCAATTGGCCGCTACCGATCTCGCCCAATCCAACGGCGGTTTCTTTCCCATCACTACCTCCATTCCTCCGCTATCACCGCCCACAATTGCCACAAGGCTCTTGACGGGAGACATCTCGGACGCCCTAAAACAAGGCCACAATGCTTTTTTGAATCTGGCGGATGGGCTCTTGGCTACACCAGACGAGCAACTGCATCAAATACAAGCTAATGATCTCGATCCCTCTCGAGGCAACTCTACTCCCAACGGCCTCTATTCGCCGTTAAATCATGCCTCACCGAATCTAAATGGCGACGATGAACTAAGTCGGATCGCGGCTGAGCATCGCTTTGGCGAAGACATAGACGAGGATAGAAAAAAAGACGTCAGTGGGCGCACAGGCCAGTATCCCATGGACGCCGTATTGACGTTGATGAAATTGAACGAGGGATGGAAAACGGCCGCCTAGGGTGGCATTGTGTATACCTTGGCGGTTAGCGAAGGGTTTGTCTTGGGGACTTGGCGTTGTTTTGGATTTTCTGTGCTGCTTTGCAAAAGGTTTGCTTCTTGATTGTGAAGTCTTTGTTTCAATGTACATGTTTGGTTGATAAAGTCACGTTGTGATGATCCATGAATGTTTGGGCGGGTACTGGATATGTCAGCAATCTATCAGAGTATATCCGATAGGTTAGAGCTGTAGCCCGTGAAGTCGAAAAAATGATTACATGGAATGACTGCTTGTTGGCTCCTGTTCTGTGAATCGCCCAACCTGGAAATACCGTAGTATAAATAGAGTTGCAGTCGGTTGTACTCTTTGGCAAAAGTACTGCGGATATTCACCGAAACATCATTCTCCGGCCATCGGCGTATGAATGCAATCAGTATTCACTCCGAGTCGGCTTCCTGCCAGCATTCTTGGCGCACATTGTAAATAGACGTTGACCATGACAGCGCTTGACTGCTAAACAGCCATGGACGATATGTTCGGCTACAAGGTAGATCGCGATAGATGCGACCGCCAGCGACCGCCAGCAAGGTCGGCCATGCCGCTCACGCCTTCGGCTTCACGGAGAACATGCTGTCCAAATTTCGAGAAGCATATTGGAGTTGGCTAGTCTCAATAATGAAGGATGCAATATGTACTCTATGTCATACTCTTCATTCACCTGTATCATGATCTCTTCATCTGGCTGCCAAAAACAAAGCATCGAAGCAGAGCGGGAGGTTGTTGGTGGATTCATGAATGGAACACCACTAGAGGATCCTGCTCGTTTGCATGAACTGTAATTAAGTGCGGGTAGAAAGCCAGGGCTCAAGTATCATATTGGGGCCCTGAAGCGATACTCAGACATTGCATTACAAAAGTAGTCAGGCGGACGGTCTTGGATGTTCACCGCTCCGTCTCACGGTGATTGACTTTAATGGATACCGTGCCAGACTTATCATATCCAACAATAAACTGCCACAATGTCTCTAGTATGATATCTCCCGATTTGTCCAATGACCCGACCCGTACACTGTCCATCCTGCTTTGAATAAAGTGGCTCAAGGTTATAAAAAGAATTCCCTATAGCTTAACTGCATGACAAATGAGCATGCGCTCCGCCAAAGATCAATGGCGAAACTCCTTAAGGCTGGAAGCCGACGTGCCACTGTTTCAAATTGTTGTTCTTGTGACTTTAACGTCGTGGGCCAAACTTGAGCTCATGTGATCTTGCACTGGACAACATCTCTGGTATTGCAAGTCAGTGCGCAGTCACGGCTTCTAGCGACGTTCGTACGCACTTGCAGCGTGGGGATGCTGAAAGAACGTTTCGCCAAGAGACATAGTCTCGACAGAGCAAGCGGAGAAGCAATTGTCGGTTTGCACGCAAATCGTGGTGTTTAGCCTTGAGCTGCTTACTGAAAGCGTCATTGAACTTCAGTGATCATCAGACGAAATGAATGTCGAGACAAAACCAAGCACCGAACATACATTGGGATGTAACGACCCAGCTGTATTCTTAGAAATTCTCCAAACAGGTATTAATTTTGTCCGATCCCCGTCCGTAAGTCCCGGTTTGAGTCCAGTCGAAAATGTGCAAAACTCTCAGCGGGAATCAATTGGTCCTTTGATGGAAGATTGGAGATAGTGCAGCTTCGGCTTGCAGGGACCCGTGCTTTGGAGGATTGCCAAGCATATAGCGGCCAGGCGGCGAGCGTTATAAGAACAGTCATGGAAAATATGCTAGTACAGCAGTTATGTGACGATACATAACTTGGAACCTCCGATTCCCCCGGTAAACCGAATAAGGATGATTCGGCGATTCGTTCATATGCATTTTCCGCTTTAAATCTATGGGACCTCTTGCACTAACGTTGGTAGAGTCATTGATATGCCGAACGGCCTGAAAATTGCTACTTCGTAAGTCAGTCACCTGGACCAAGGCATTCTTAGTTCAGCGGTAGAATTCCTGCCTTCCAAGCAGGAGGCCGGGGTTCGACTCCCCGAGAATGCATACTTTTTGCGACCGTGTGACCGCGCGACCGCCTACATTTTAGACGAAACACGTGCCGCCTTCTTTGGCATATTTGTCACCAGCGTAGATAGCTCCACTTTTCTTCTTTTTTCCTGAGTCAGAAGCAGATGCAACCCCTTGCAACATGTGCAAATTGGCTTGCCCATAACGATAGGTCTATCGGCTCAATTGAGCCACAAGACATGAAAGTGACATTCTCACGATTTCTGGTGATGCATGATGAAAGCTTTTTCAATTGACCTATCATTAGAGCCCCTAATGTCGGTTGCAGACAATGCCAGAGTGTGTGAAGAGTATCCGTGCTTGACAGTCTCAACTGATCTTAAACAGTTGTTGCCTTATTTGGAGACATCGAAGTCATACTTCTGTGCGACGTTGCTGCTTGCCCTTACAACTGCCATGGCAGAATCGCCCGAATCGCCCGTGACACCCAGGACGTACAGGCGAGCAGAGTCTGGTGCGCTGTGGAACGTTGACGATGGTAAGTGCTTATACTGGTGTTGTCTCTTCGGGCAAGGAATTCTCGTCTATTTTAGTATGGACCATGAGGACCGAACATGAGGATAACAAGCCAAACTCAGGCCGCAGTACACTAATGGGATATAGACAAGGTGAATATAGACACTCAGCTACAAGTATTTCGACTTTTGGAAGCGTTAAGGATAGGTAAGGCACCCTTGCTGTGCACTCTCGGAGGTTATTCTCTGTTATTGGCCTTGTGATTCCTGATGGCTAACTATGTCTTTGATACTCTCGGCAGGCGATATTCCTGCTATTGATGAACAGTTGGCCAATAGCAAGAATACCGACGCTCAAAGTAAGCTCACATCGCAGCCAATACACTTGGCGGTACAGTGTGCTCAGATCGGCACAATCGAGCATCTTCTTAAATCGAAGGAGGGCGGTGACGTTAATTCTCGCGATTCGAACGGTAATACGCCACTCCATCTGGCCGCCAGATCAAATCGACCCGACGTCGTTGCGTTCCTCTTGCAGCAAGATGGCATTAATGACATTGAGCTAAATGTCCATGGACAGACACCGGAGGAATACTGTCGCAAGAACTCTCAATGCCATCGACTGCTAAAAGGTAGGCGTCCAAGCGCCTCGTATATGTTCATGACGTCTAATATGCGAAACTGTTGTCAGCACATCGTGAAAATTACCTTGCCTCACAATATCCGCGCTTTCGCAAGGCTGTAGCCGAGTCGGACCTACCCACCATCACGCGCATATTTTGTGACCCCAAATCATCTTTAATTCCAATCAATCAGGTAGATCCGCGGACGGGTTCAACGGCGCTGCACGACGCTGCGCGACTTAGGAATACGGAGATTGTGAAGCTCTTGCTTGAAAAAGGTGGTGACGTTCTCGTAAGAGATCGCAAAGGCAAATTGCCAGTTGATGCGACAAAGGATGAAAAGCTGAGGCAGCTTCTCAAGGATGGTAAGTTCCGGCAATGCACAAGGATTCAGATGCTTACTTATGTCCGGCCACAGCTGCTCCGACCGACGTAATTATTCCAACCGCGCCTGGCAAGTCCCCTACCATGACGGGATACCTAAGCAAGTGGACTAATATCGCTGGAGGATTCAAGACAAGGTGGTTCGTCCTCGACAACGGTATGTACGGACATTCGTGCATTCTATTTGACACTCACTGTAGCAAAATATCATGTGTAGGCTTGTTGTCTTACTACAAGAGTCAAGATGCAGTCCTCAAAGGTCCACGAGGCACAATCGATTTAAGAACGGCAAGAGTCTGGATAGATCCCAAGGACAAGAATCGTTTTGACGTGATTGGGACTGGTAGCGGGGAAGCTCGTTTCTCCTTGAAGGCAAACTTGCCGGTGGAAGCCAAACGCTGGATATTTGCCATCTCCCAGTCCAAAAAGGTGGCTAGCGACCAGGCCAAGGCTGAACCAGCGATGCCAGAGTCTCCAATCAGCAAAGTAGACTCGCGAAGTTCGCAGAAAAGTTACAGATCTCGCTTCAAGTTGAAGCGAGTATCTTCCAATCCCTCTATAGTAGATGAAGAAGGTGGAGATTCCACTGCAGATGACCAGTCAATTAAGGCGAAACAAGAGCGGAAGAAGAGCAATCGTCTTAGCCATCAATCAGTTCTTTCGGATCGCGGTGGCCTAGGTACTTATCCCGTGATGCTGGAAGATGAGGATATTGAAGAGGAGAACGAAGATGACCTCACATCTGTCGTTGATACAGTTGAGGTACCACCTAACGAGGAAGGCCTTGCCATCGCGGTAAACTCTGTCAAGACTCAATGCTATCTTCAAACGCAATTGTTTGAGAGCCTGTTGATGAACGAGAAGAGTCACGACGATAATAAGGTGCAGCGGTGTGATGCACTCGCGGAAGCATGCAGATCAGGGCTTTCAAGTATAGCATCCCTGGTAAACGACGTCGCCAGGCGGGCAGAAAGCCGCGAAAATTTCTGGAGGCTCAAATATGAGGATCAACAAAACCGCCTACAGCTCTGGGAAGAGAGCATGAAGAGTCTGGCTTTAGAGCAAGAGAGAATGCAAAGACTGCTGGAAGAAGCTGTCGAGGAGCGAAAGGAACGACGACGTGAAGAAAAGCGTGGTCGGAGTCGGTCCGTCATCAACAGGGAAGAACGGAGCGAGGTGTCGGTTGGACCCCCTGGCCCCATCGACACTGAGCTTATTCAAGAGCCCGGGCAACTGGTGGACATGGACGAGACTGATGCAGACGAATTCTTTGATGCCATGGACGAAGAGAATGAATTGGTGGTCGCTCCCGATCGACACATGTCACTCATTGGGGACCTGGAAGCTATGCCCAGTACGGCAATCGGTGGTGTTCAGCCCACGGAATCCGCAAAGTCCGAAGGCGAGTCCGAAACGATCTCTATGGCAGAGACCCGCGATTCGGATAGCAATTCGGCAGATACCACTCAGACTTCGCTTTCAGTCGTCCGCCGACCACATTACAATCAACAGATAGCCGAATCATTTTACGGCTATCCCGATCAATGGCGCAAAAGTCTTCCAATATCCGACAAGGAGATGCCTCAAATCTCTCTGTGGTCTATTCTCAAGAACTCGATCGGCAAAGACTTAACACGTATCTCGCTCCCGGTATATTTCAACGAGCCCGCAAGCATGTTGCAGCGCATGTGCGAAGACATGGAATACGCGGAGTTATTGAATATTGCTGTTAAGCAGACACAGAGTACTGAGCGTATGCTCTATGTCGTTGCTTTTGCAGTGAGCAACTTCTCTAGTGTCATTGGACGTGTTGCAAAACCGTTCAACCCTCTTCTGGTATGTAAAAGATGAGCTTTGCGTACGGCAACTGCTGATATATAACATTGAAGGGAGAAACGTTTGAGTTTGTTGACAAGGAGAAGAATTATCGGTACCTGTCGGAGCAAGTCTCTCATCATCCGGTATGTCCTGGCATTCGACGATTGACGTTGACGAATTAACCAATTGTTCATTAGCCTATCAGTGCTTGCTATTGTGAGTCGCCAGCATACAACTTTTATGCTGAATCCGACGTCAAAAGCAAGTTCTGGGGAAAGTCCTTTGAGATGCATCCAAAAGGCATCTCACACATGGAGCTCAAACTGCCCACAACTGGCGATGATGGCACCGAAGGCATCAGGCTGGAGCATTACTCCTGGATGAAGCCAATTGTTGCTGTCACAAATTTAATTCTCGGCAATCCCGGCTTCGATGCCTACGGCGACATGGTGTTTGTCAACCATGCGACAAGAGATCGGTGTGTGCTTACCTTCAAACCCAAAGGTTGGAGATCCAGTGAGTCACACGAAGTACGTGGATATGTCATATCTGGCGAGACGGGCGCCAAAGTCTGGGAGCTTGCTGGCCGTTGGGATAGCCAATTGCTAGCCAGAAGGGTTCGCCATGGTCAATCCGACCTATTGGGAATCGTCGATGACAAATCTCATAATGCCATCTCACAAGATCGTATCTCGCTCACGCAAAGCAAGCCCATCTTACTCTGGAAGCGTCATCCATTCCATACCGAAAAAGTTCCGTATAATCTCACCAATTTCGCCATTACCTTGAACGACCTTCCCGAGATCCTGAGCAAGTACATTGCTCCCACGGATTGCCGATTCCGACCGGATCAGAAAGCCATGGAAAATTGCGAATACGACTTGGCATCCTCAGAAAAGAACAGATTGGAGGAAAAGCAACGAGCAAAGAGGCGACAACGCGAAAAGGAGCGAACGGGCGAAGAATGGCAACCACGATGGTTCACACGAAAGATTGAGAAAGATACTCAAGAGCCCTATTGGGAGTATAATTTTGAGTACTGGGCCGAAAGGGAACATGTCCGGGGAGAGATTGATGCCGGCAATACGGATGTCAAATGGAATATCCCGGACGCAGATCTGTTTTGAGCTTTTACTTATATCATTCGGGGCCTTAATGAAATCTTCTGTATGAGAATACCTTCTCACCGTATCGAGCGGCATATTGTGGTTGTCGCCTTGCTTGGTCGCTTCTTTGTTTTCGTACTCGCTGCTCTGGCCAACTGGTTCGTGGATGACTATGATTCCTCCTCATCCACCCTTGTTTCGACATTTCCGCTCACAGTATACTTGCGCTGGGACGCGGTCTATTTTCTCCACATAGCCTCTCAAGGCTACGTGTACGAGCAGGAGCATGCCTTCTTCCCGCTGGTGCCCGTGATTGCGCGGGCGTTAGCGACCATCAGTAAGTCTGCTTATACGCGTTAGTGGTATAACGCTCACACGAAGGTGCAGTTTTGAAGCCTCTCAACTTTTTGCGTCTCGGCGATACGGATTTGACATTGCTTTCAGGCATTCTCGTGTCGAACCTGGCCTTCGTCTTGGCTGCCGTTGTTCTATATAGGTAGGCATATCGCGTCTCTTTGCACATTGTGAGCAATTCATGTCTTTTGGCTTCAGACTGACACTACGAGCAACAAATGATGTTCGATTTGCCT